TCAGTCTGATCCATGCTTCCATGTTATTGAATCTGTTCTGTTCATCAGTTTAGTAAATTCTTTAGATTCCACATGTAAGTGAGATCATGTGATGTTTGTCTTTCTCTGACTGGCTTATTTTGCTTAGCATAATCCTCTCCAGGTCCTTCATGCTGCCCCAAAAGGTACAAGACCCTTCTTCTTTACAGCTGCGTAGTATTCCATGGTGTGAATGTCCCACAGCTTTTTTATCCACTCAGCTACTGATGGGCACTTGGGCTGTTTCCAGATCTTAGCTGTTGTAAACTGTGCTGCTATGAACATAGGGGTGCATATATCCTTTCTCATTAGTGTTTCAGGATTCTTAGGATATATTCCTAGAAGTGGGATCACTGGGTCAAAAGGCAGCTCCATTTTTAATCTTTTGAGGAACCTCCATACTGCTTTCCATAGTGGCTGCCCCAGTCTGCATTCCCACCAGCAGTGCACTAGGTTCCCCTTTCTCCACACCCTCGCCAGCACATGTCGTTTGTTGATGGAGCCTTTCTGACAGGTGTGAAGTGATACCTCATTGTGGTTGTAATTTGCATCTCTCTGATGGTTAGTGACTCTGAGCATTCTTCCTTGTCCTGTCATCGGAGTGCTGTGTCACTCCAGCAGTGAGAATTCTTCCCAGAAAGGGATGCCAGCGACGACTGCTGAGCGTCAGTCTTGAACCTTGCTGATGCTCTAATGTTCCTTCTTGATTTGCAGTGCAGTCCTCTGCCTTCATTCCTCAAAGGTTCTATCAACCCATTTGTTTAATCACTCATCATGTTACATTTTATCTCTGTGACACATTCATATAAGTCTTATAAAACATAAGGAGGAACAGATTTAATTCAAGGACTATGTTGTGTTCATCCCTTGGCTTGGCTTTAGTGAAAGTAATAAAATATTGACTATACTAACCACTTTGGGACAAAGTTCTAAGATATCCACATTTGCAGTGTTGCAGTTTTACTCTTCGTACTTAATTCACTAGCTCCTAATAAATAACACAGCTCTAATAATTAGTAGGTTTGTAATTAGTAAAATTAGATCAGACAGACATATTTCCTTCTCTTTCTTTTTTTTTTTAGCAACAGATTTTTGGATGANTAACACAGCTCTAATAATTAGTAGGTTTGTAATTAGTAAAATTAGATCAGACAGACATATTTCCTTCTCTTTCTTTTTTTTTTTAGCAACAGATTTTTGGATGATTTTTTTTTTTTTTTTGCAAAACCTATGTATTTAATTGGAAAATGTCTGCCGGTCTTTGAGCTTGACAAGAATAGCCCATTTCCCATTATCATTTCTTATAGTGATTGATATCCTTCTGCTTGTAGAAGAACTGCTAACTCAGAAGGTGTATGCCCTTCAAAGATTTTGGAGTAAGGCCAAGCCAGAGAGCAGCCTTTCAAAACCTTTATACTTAATTGATAGATGGCTGGCTCTCAGAATGGATTCACCTTCAACTAGTAATTTGCCTTCCAGCAACTGCTGTTCCTTTCTTGTAGTTGAGAAGCAAATGAAAATTGAAACCACAGGTACCTAGCATTGCCTATCTGACTTGATGATATTTTCTACACATTTCCCTCCAGAAATATCCTTTCCTCCACCTGTTAACATTTTCATATTCTTGTCCTAACACAGTGTGGAGAATATGGGGATTTTAAATAGGAATGATTAATAGAGATTATATTTTTCATGAGTTTAAATTTCTGATAGTCCATGCCTGAGCTAATGATCCATTTTAAGAGCACAGAGATTTCACACAGGGCTCTTTTTCTCTGAAGCGTGTTACAAAAATTATATTGAATAAACTCTGTTTGTATTGGTTCTGTTTATATTTTGGTTTTCATAAAAGTTTCTCTGGGAATCATAAATTTTACAAGAAGAAAATGAGATTTTGCTTGCCAGATGAAAAGCCTAACATTTCTATTTTTCCACTACACGCAGTAATGTCTATACAATCTCACAACTATTGTTGATTCATAATAACAAAATAATTTTTTTCCAAATAAAAAACATTTTGGGTAATTATTTGAATTAATTTATAATATACTTCATTTATTTCAAGCCCCAAGTGTGATGTTGGATTATACTTAAATATCTGATGTGTTACTTATATTAAGAAACACGTATTTTAACGAAGCTTGACTGATCTAAGTAGAAATGTGCAGCAAGTAAAATTTGACTTCAGCACTCCCCTTTTCTTGCTCCATTCCGAGTCTCTCTTAACCATCAGAGATAGAACAGGGAAGATTTTAACTAATGGGAAGACATATAAATACTTTTCCGGTTGGAAATTCTTACCCTCGCAGAGTGTTTTCCACTCACCCTTTCTAGGCAAAAACTTACCCATTGACTGTCATTGTGGCTTTTCTTTGAATCTCTATCATGTGAAAAATTGTATTTGAATATGTAGAAGGGAAGGAAAGAAAACCTACCACTCAGTATTGATATTTCCTTATATGTCAGATTTAACCCATTTATCATAGAACACTAGTAGGTTAGCACTTTATTGTAAAAACAACTATCAAGAATCAAATGCACACTTATACCTTTAAATGACCTGAGAGGAGGATTTGGCTGACCATGTTTTGCTTCTTTACTTAGTAGAAATTAGAGATTTCCCCAGGGCAGTGTGACACACTAAGTTTCTATTCATGTTTTTCCCCTTTACCCTTTATTTAAATTCTTCAGAAACAAACACACACCACAGGTTTGCAAGTGGCACAGAGAAGAACATCTAAATTTAAAAAGGTGTCCTCAGATCTCATATTCTACATGCAATCATTTTAGATTTTTCCACAGCAACATGCAGTGTTATTTATCTTAATCTCCACTGAGCACTAACAGTCTTCCTGACACTGCAGGTGGCATTCCTGACTGCTAGAATAATTTACCACCTAAGCTGTGATAGGGTGAAATAAAATTGTGAAGAAATTTGGGCATAAAATACAGAAAACATTAGGTGATTTTTGAATCTAGAGTAAATGTTTGATCATATGTAAATAAAACAGTGTTTGTAAATAGAAAAATGAACAACATAAATTTGAATAAAATTTATGGCTTTCATGAGGTCTCTGTATAATTATATATATAATATATGAAACATACATTCATATGTTTTATATATCAATATTATAATCCATTTGAGGGTTACAAGACTCTTCGGATTTACGTTGTTCACTTTTCTAATCACAATTTTAAAGCATTATACTTTTAATGAAAGTAAAAATATTTTTACTTTTAAAGAGGCGATTTTATTTTATGACTATTACTTCTGAAGATAACAGATTTTATGAAACTCAACAAGTGTCAACAATTTAATGAGTGAGCAAATTATGAAACGTTAAACAGTTCAAGCATAGCTTTCAGAACTGTTGCTGAAATATAAATTATTTGACAAAACTATCCAAGGACCCTGAAAGATTGGATGGAATTTTTATACTCTGATTATCTGGGCAGAGTTAATGCTTATTAAGAGAGGATTAATCTACATTCATATTTGAGAAATAGCTTATCAGGAACGGGAATGAGGCTTGGCTGGCAACATTAAAGTTTCCATTTGGAGCAGGAAAATGTGGCCTACAGGAGATAGGCGCTCTCAAAGCTTCCTTACCTCAAAATGTCAATTTACTACACAGTCACATTTCCCTCCCCCTTCACTTCTAGCAGGCACGAGATTGGGATTAGTCCTGTCAGATGATAGTACAGGTACTTTGTGTATGATATAAACTTGCAAAGTCTCTTTGCCATATATCCTTTATAAGTATTGCAATAAATTCAAAATATTTAATGCAATTCTAAAACATTTAAGATTGTGGTGTCCGTAGAACTTTTTAGAAACCTTAGTGTTATTTAGTTAGTTTCAGCTGAAAACTCCTAATACATGGCCCCCTGCAAGTTCTTAATTTTAGGTGCTAGCAGAAACTCCTGATAAAGATTCACACTTATTTCAAATTTATGACTGATAAGCACAAAATTACTGCACTGTGAGTATCAAAATCATGACTAGGATGAGAGTGTTCCATCACCTACGCTCTCCTCACCCCTTTTATTTTCAGCTTCAAGGTGGTTCCACATCTCTTTGAAATGGTAGCGACCTCAAAACAGCTTTCAGTTGGCTGCAGCATTTACTTTTATGTTTCTTTCTCTTTACATATACACCGAAAAAATGTTGATCAAACACCAAATGATTTCCATTTTAGGAGTTCTAGTTGTTCCTCCTTATTTCTAGTCTGCGTTTAATCTCACGGTCTGATAGAATTCAGTTACTTTTCATTTGATAGACAAAATAGAACAAATCTACAAGTTTTGGAGCATGAAAGGTATGAAAGGAACATTGCAAAGGTGCCTTCTTTCTTTCCTTGCTTTAAGACAACTTAGCAATTTTATTCGGATAAGAGTCTTTTCTTTTTTGTCATAGAAATATACAGAAAGGAAGATTCTCGTGTGTCCTAAATGCTGTCTAAAGGTCATTCTGAGTTAGTCATGTATTTATACCACGTACAGTGTATTTTTGCTTTGTGTAGTTGGTATGCAGAGATACGTGTTATGATGATTAGTATGTACAAGTTAAGCGCAACTCAATTTTTGTGCCTCTTCAGTTGTCCCCTTTTCTCTAACGTCCTTTATTGCTCTGCCACTCACAGAGACTTTGGGTGGGGAAAAAAGAGCATCTAAGTTAGGGAGAAATACTTAGCTTCTCCCCCCACATCTCCTAACATCACATGTTAAGGTGCAGCCCACCGGTGCCTGCTTATTTGCATATATACAATGACATTCACTTGTCATTAAAACAATGACAGTAAAACAATCACTTGATAGTCCATTAGAAACCATAGAGCTAGAAAGTCACATCAGATGGAAAACTAATTAGCTGTACTGTTTTCACATTTTGTTGGGTTTTATTTCCCTAACCGGGCCTTTATTTAATACCTGCATGCTCAGTTTTTTCATTAATTGTTTCAGATTAATTCTTTCTTTGTTGTTAAATGCAGTTACTCAAGGGCCCAATGTGTGGCGGGCACACTGCAGATTCCTGACTCCCAGCACTTATGTGAGCCATCAGAAAGCAGAGTAGCAATCAGTATTGCTTGATTTTTTTCTAAGGAGGGTTATCTCCATAGCCCATCCTGGGCAGATGCAAAGGTTATGCGAGGTTTGTTTTATAATGCTCTTGAGACGTTACCTCAAAAATTAATAGGGCGATATACTTCAGGTGCCAGCAGGTGCCCCTGAAAGCACTGCCTCAGGCACTAGTGCCCAGGAGGGTTCTGATGGACCCTTGGAATATGGTCCTATCACCTCAGGACCTCATGAGACAGATGTCATTAGACTAACTTAGGCAAAGTACTTGGGAACTGTTTTTGGAAATTTATAAACTTATAGAGTGATCACATTTGATAGTGGAAATTTGAGGAACTGATTAATTATGGAGAGATTCTTCAAATTCAAAAGTATATACTATGTGTATACTTTAAGTAACAATAGGTTCTCAGTTTATTAAAAATATGAATCAATTAATAAATGTTCATTTACTTTTATCTTTACTCACTAAGTACAAAATAAATCAATATCTTCCAAAAATAGGATATGTTGGGTTCTCACATCTGAAATGGTACTTTTTCCCTTCATTCCCAGTGTTTGGTTTAGCTGGTCCATACTAATTTGGGGCATAATTTCAATTTTGTTGTCCATAAATTTCTAAATACCAGTTTTTTTGCCTGATTTTCCAGTTAAGTCATTTGATCCAAAGTAATATGAAATTATTTGTAGTCTTTATCCCACTAATCATGTATATTCACATTTCCCTGCAAAAATATTAAGTAATATTGACTATAATTTGCTACCCAGACCCTCTCTATAGAATACAACTTAATACCTTTCTCAGATTTGATATATTTTGAATTTCAAAAATATATTTGACTGAAAAGTTTTCGAACAAGTGATGATGGACCAGAACTGATATTTATATTCTTTGGCTAATCCTTGAAACCCACTTTCATGATGTTAGCTGTTGAATGGAATCTAGTGACTGGAGGGAGTGGCTGCTCCAGCTGTGGTTCTACTGGATGCTTGTTGGTGTTGGTAACAAGTTCAACAGTTTTATAAAGAACTCTAGTTTTGTAATCATTACGTACAATTGGAATATATTCAGTATCAATTATTTGAAAATTTTATTTTAGCGAGAATTGGAGAATGAAACAAAGCACTGAGTATGCTGTTCTCTATTAAATACAGTTCGTGTCTATTGTAACTATAGCTGTTCAATTCAGTGCTTATCAGTGCCCCTAAAAGAACCTGCGATGATGAGGAATATGCTGTCAGAATCTGTCACCTGTATCATTGGAAGGATGACATTACCTATTTGAATGATCTTGTTTCAATTTGTATTATTTGCATTTTGTGTACTTCTTCTAATAAGACACCCATATTAAGAGTAAAAGACATGATTTCATAATTCTTTGTTATTAGTTGTCAATTTTTTAATGCCACTATATATGCCAATTTTAACATTGATTACCTTTGACATCCAAATACAGATCGCCCCTTTGACTGAACCATACAATTGGCCTGAAGAAATTTAAATGCCTTATTAAAGTTGGCTTTGCCCTGAGTCAAATCATTTCTTTTTACTCTCTGTACAATTATGTTAATTATATTTTGTTAAAGTTCCCAGAGGGCTCAGCTCTAAACTAAAGGCCGATATGTAGTTGTTATTAATAGTAATTAATATTGACTACTTGTGTGTGTGTGTGTGTCTTTTTTTTACAGTTACATTTCAAAGAGGAGATGGAGGACTAATGAGCAATGGAAGGTATGCTAAGGAGATTCTTTTTCTGTTATTACTATTTGTAATCAGGAGAGGGAGACTCTATAGTAAGAGGCTTTATTGTAATAAACGATCACTTACGAGTCTGAGAATCCTAGGAGGAATTAAATGATCTATCTGTGGTGCACTTCAGAGGAATCGAGCCCAGATGTTTCATATCTCCCAGATGCCCCTGAAGAAATTAGTAGTAAATATCACAAGGAATGTGTTCATTTGTTAGCAGGATGTTTATTGCATTAATTAGACATTAGCAAATGAAGTTGCTGTTGTTTAAGACTCCTTATTGGCTCTCACTAAATTGCTGTGAGTGAACAATTACACATAATCGATCACAGAGTAAATGATTCATGGATGATGAATATGCGGTAGATTGATAGGACTGGATTCCACAACTTTGGATACTCAATTGAAATTGATAAAAGCTGATAACAAACCCATATATCGTCATCTATTTTCCCTTTGCCAATATGGAGATTGTAATTAGGCTCTGGTAATAACTTCCAATCTCCCATTTAATCAATATTTTTCCAAAAAGAAATTAGGTCTAATGAGAACTAGTGGATGTAGCAAGAAAGCAGTTGGATCTTCTTATTGCAGTTTCCATAGAAACTTGTGTTTCTCTTAGGGATTGTACCAGAATGGTCTATGAAAAAAAGTACAAAGATTATAGATGCTGTTATTTCTTTGTAAATAATTTAATAATCTATAAAGGAATTAGAATCCCCATCTTTAATATTAAATATGTGAGTTCTTTATTAACTATGATGCAAAGAAAGTTTTCCTCATGGGCTCTATGCACACACTAGATAAGATCACAGCAGATCTTTTATTACCTTAAAAGAAAACTATAATATACCCCTAATACTTTGCAGTTTAGAAAACCTGGAAATGTGCTATTGATGGAACAGTATAAATACTGCTCATTAATTTTCTTCAAGTTCTTTGCCCTAAATCAAGCATGAGGGCTCATAACAAGGGTTACGGCTTCCAGGGGACAGATAAATATGGGGGTTGCAGAATCCAAGCAATAGCCCAAAGTCCTGGAAATGGCTGATACTGAGCAGTCGCTCTGAGCAATTGTTCCCTTGAGGTGCCAATTTATCATCAAACCTTGTTTTGGGATCCTGCTACGTTACTGATTCCCACCAGTTTCAGGGCAGATGACCAAATTCATTTGGATGTCAGCAGAACGCCAGGCAGGATTCTTCTGCTTAACATTGACAGGATTAGCCTATATTACAACCTAAAGAGCTGCTGAAGTTCCTGAATTCTAGAGAGCCTACAAATTTTAATTTTAAGTGAATTAAAATCTTAAATTCTTAAATTCAGTTTAGTGCATGAGACAGGTATCCAAGTCTGTCGTCACTGAGCTCCACGGGTTGATTTCCTTTTAATTTCTGTTTTAGCCGACCAGGTCTTCTAAATGCTGGGGACCCCAATTATCCATGGCTTGCTGATTCGTGGCCAGCCACAAGCTTGCCAGTCAACAATAGTAATAGTGGCCCAAATGAGATTGGGAATTTTGGGCGTGGAGGTAAGTTACATTTTTCAAAATTTTTTTATTTGTTTTCTTGGCTTTCCTAGATTTTATTAAAAGGGTATACTGAAGAGTATTTTTCGTAATTAAAATTAGTGAAGCACATGTATTAATAGCACAGGGCATTGGCTGAATATTTTATTATAAAACCATTGTACTGTGTTACTGTGAGTAAAACTAAGCTTTTAAGGAACTCATTGTTAACCGAGAAGATAAATATTCATAATATATTTTTTAAGACTACTAGTACAAGATTATTAAAATGAGGAAACTTGCAGCTAAACAGGGTTTATGATTTTAATCTAGTCATTTCACTTCTCTGACCATCATATATTTATTGAGCGTGTCTTGTGTACCTGGCATTATGGCAGACAGTAAAAATGTAATATCAATAGAAAGAAAAATGGCCTTTATGCTCATATAATATATCACATAATGAGTGTACACTTAAATTTAACATATTGAGAGAGAACTTTCCTGTAGTTCTGCAATTGATAACTGGTACCCCAAATAAAAAACAAGAAGGTGCTGAATAGCTGACATGCTGAAGTGCCCAACATTTGGTGCCAGGGTTCTTTCTATAAGTCTTTATAAGGAGAAAGAATTGAACCTACCATAAATGTTCCCCCCTTTCCCCCCTCCATCTTTCCATCTAGTCAGTAGTAGAGCAGTGAGTTTAGAAGAAGACATGACTAGAGAAGTCTTAGGTCCTAGTGTTTAGGTTGGCACATGCATATGAGTTTTCCATTGGCAGAAGATTGTGAAGCCAGTAAAGGGACTTGAGCTGTGTTCCCAATACCCCACAGGAAAGACCTGCCCATTGGAAGTAAGACAGTTCTGTGAATGGTGTGTTACTTTAGTTAATATCTGAAGGAGAATTGGGAATTAGTCAAAAGTGTGAAAAAAGTGTGTGGAGAATAAACTCTCATAATTTAAGGTTCAGATATAAGAGAGAGATTGATTGATTTGAGAAATAAATAAATTTCCTAATGACTTGAGTATAAAGAGCAAGACAGCAAAGGTGGTAAAAACCACAGAGGGACAGACAAGGGTGCTTTCTAAGCCACACAGAGACTTTAAACTTTCTGCAAAGGGTGATCAGAAGCCATACATAGATTTTTTTTTTTTTTAAATATATCTTTATTGATTTCAGAGAGAGGAAAGGAGAGGGAGAGAGAGAAACATCAATGATGAGTCATTGATTGAGCCCGCAACCTGGGCATGTGCCCTGACCGGGAATCGAACCCAGATCACGTGGATCCTAGGTCCATGCTCAACTGCTGAGCCATGCCCAGCCGGGCCCCATACATAGATTTTTAAGAGGAGAATGCTAGGCTCCAAGTGCTCCAACCTGTTGCTGGGTAAAGAATGGAGCTACAGTGAAAATTTAGGTGATTAATTAGGAAGTTAGTGCTATAATCCAAGAAAGTCTAACTGAATCCACTGTAGGATTTCTATACTTCTAGGTATAATTACTGCAGGAGACCCAGGGCTTGGTTCAACTGTTCCAACTCTATTATAAGCCTCAGTTGCGGATTTCACACCTATGAGTATATAAAAATATTGACTTAAAGGAATGTTCATGGATCCTGGCCTTTTCTCTTTATGAATGGAATACCAGTAGTTGTTTGAATATAATTAAAGCAGTATTTCAAATAATAGAGTTACTAAGTAGTGTATAAGAATGCATTCTGTCAATACCAACTATAAGAAGGTAAACTCCCTCCCATTCTTCAAATAAAATACAGAAAATAACTATCCCTGCTTCTTAAGTGCTGTAATGAAGATTAAATGGGTGAATATATATATAACTAAATACACACACACACACACACATGGGTTTAGCACAAAGCCTGATGTACAATCAGTGGCCAAAATGCATCATTGGATAAATGAAAGAATAGAGAGTGAGTTGTAAGACCTCTCGGCTTTGGGCTTACCCTCTACAAGTCTATGCACACTGTTCAGGATTCTCATATGTCCAGGGCCTCTGAAAGTGGCTGCTTTCCCTAGGTGACCAGATTCTGGGCCCTGCACTCTAGGTTATCACTCCACATGGGTAAGTTCTGTACCTGAGTATTGTCTCACCAGGAAGGCAGAACATGTCCCCTTGACCTACCCAAACTGACTGTGTCAAAAGAAATCATGTTCCCAAAGCTTTTTAATCAGTTAAGAAATAGCTGCCTCTTACTTTTTGTGTTTGTATGGAAATAACGCAGCACCACTCTATTTTTATATCAAGGAATGAATACCTTTCTAGCAGGCTACATTAACATCTAAAATTTCTCTAATTTAGCCAAAGTGTTCATTGATGGGTTTTCAAGATTTTTCTTCTATTCCCACCTCATTTCCATGACAAGAAATATTTCACAGATGAACATCAAGGCCAAGACAAAGTTTCTGCAGGGTTTGCTGTATCTATTTCCAATGTAATAGGCGTTTTAGACATTTACTATGTACCAGAAATAGTGTTAGGAATTTTTGTACATTTTTTCATTTTCTTTTCACAATAAAGATTTGACCTAGATAATCACATTTCATTTTTAAAGGTCAAAAAGCTAAGGTTCTCAAGATGACTAATCTGGGATCTGGGTGCAGAATGCAGGCCTGCCGGATTAGATAGCCAACATTCTCTTCCCTACGCTGCTCTGCAGTTCTAAAGGCAGAGTTCACACATGTGATAGTAGTACAACCATATTTACTGAGAAGAATAATCATGTATACGACATTTTCCCTTTAAAATGTAAATGGTATTTTGAATGATAAAGCTTCTAATTGTCACATAACTTATGCGACAATAACTTATGTGACAATTAGAAGCGTTATCCTTCAAAATACCATGTACATTACATTTAAACATGTTGTTGGCCCTTTCCCAAGGATACTTTTTCATTGATTTTTAGAGAGTGGAAGGGAGGCAGGGAGAGGGAGAAAAAGAGAGAGAGAAACACCGATGTGAGAGAGACACATCAATTGGTTGCCTCCCACACCCACCCGAACTGTGACCAGGGATTGAACCTGCAACCCAGGTATATGCTCTGGATCAGGAATCGAACCCAAGACCTTTTGGTGCTCAGGCCAACACTCTAATTACTGAGCTTACCAGACAGGCCAGACATAAATCTTTTATGTTTCTGTCCTCAAGTAACTTATGATACAGTGAAGGAGACAGGCATTTATTTATACATGTAATTATCCCAGGCCAAAAAAATAAATTCATGTTTAACCAAGACATTAAAAAACTACAGAATAATTCATGAGTGATTCTAACTGGACAAAAGGGTTTTTATAATTCATAGGTTTCATACTCAAATGTTAATAAGCACCAGTCAGCCAACCTAAAGCACTAAGGATGGGTAGGTGTGGCCTGTGTGAAATGGCAAATGGGAAGCCTGCCTAAGAAGGCAGCACCTATTCAGGCCCCGGTTGCTGGGAAGAAGTTTGGCCCAGACTCCGAAGCATCTAATATTAGAGGATGCTCCTCCACACACACATATTCATGCATACGCTTCCAATATTTCAGTGTTAGGATATAATTCATTTTTTTTTTTAAATGTAAGAATGGTCAAATAATGAAGGAACTATGCAGCCCCAAAAATCAACATAGAAAGATTTAAACTTGAAGGCTGACTAATTTCATAAAGCAGAGAGAGAGAATTTAAAGCCATAGCTTTAGCTGCTGCAGAGTAACATTATGCAGGATTAGATTCTTGGATGATATTTTTTTCCATTTTTAAACATTTGAACACACAACTACTTCAAGAGCTTCTTGTTGAACTGGCTCACAGTTTAAATCTCAAAGCTTTGGAGAACCTCAAGTTCAAGGTGTTGCGAAGTTGGGCCCCATGCTAGTTAATATTCATCAAGGAAAGATATTGTGGAAGAGGCAGAAACTGAAAATTTCCCCAGATTGAAGGATTTATTTCCATAATGTTGATATATTATTAAATATTAAAAGTTTTGAGAATAAAAATGATAGCAACACTTGAGAATGAAATGTGGTGTTTCATCATCAAATAGACACATTAGTTTATAACTAAAAACAAGAAGGGCAAGAAAGTAGTTGTGAAATTCTGAAAGTACAAAATGATTATACCTGCTTATACAACTTAGTGAAATATTATAAATTTGAATACACATAACAATCTCACTGATAGACATTTAAAATATTTACTTCAATAAGTAAAACAAGTTGGAATTCCAGACTTCAAAACCTTCAGAAAGACCTAAATTATACACTGTACAAAGCACATTATAAATGTCTTCTGTTGTAAAGAAAACAAATTTTGGCTTTTGTAAACTGTGAAAACAAAATAAATATTTTTATAAGATTTATTATTTCAAGTACTGTTGGCTATCATCGAAAAGTTTTAGAATATTTTGACTAAGTTCCTACTTAAACTTCCTCCTTGTGATGATAAATTGGTTTTGGTACTAAGATAATTTGGCTTATTACTTAATGTTGCAGTTCTATAACTAGTGAAAATTTCCTATAATGAAGAAATCAAGTTGGTTGATGACCTCAAATTCTATGAAGTGTGGCTTTTAGAATACAGATTATTAAGAAACATATTGTAATTAGATTAACTTTTAACTCAGCAAGATTAAAAATAGTGTTATTTAGCGATTTTTTTATTTTTATTTTTATTGGTTTCAGGAGAGAGGTGACAGTTCTAAATTATAAAAATAATTCAACACAACAAAATAATAAATGATAAATGGATGAATAGGTACTCAGTGTGGTTCCTAAAGTTTAATGTTACTCTTGTTGCATTACAACTTGAGACTATATAGTTCTCCACTTCTAAGAGTTGGTAGCATAAATTAAACTCTGATCGCTCAGGTTGCTTTCTATATAGGTAAATCCTGCTATGTTGTGAAAATGACTTACTCATGAAAATTTTCTTTTGTTATCCAAGAAAAAAAATGTTGCTACCCTAGGTTATACTCCATTTCTGAAGTTGTGAAATCAAATCAGATAAACAGCAAATTGAAACTTCAGAAAAATGGACCTCATAGTTTGATAGTATAATTTGGGGGAATTTTTTTTTTGCATCTATTGAGCACTTGTATTATATGTCCTTTGGGATAAAGTGGGAAAATATGTCTTCATCATCATTTATACATTCACACTTATCATTGCTTCTGAAAAGAGTTAAGAATTGCATTAGTTCTAAAACAGAGTGAACAGCTGAAAGCATTTTTCAGTAGTGAAATATCCAAACTTCTCGTTCGTAGTTGAAGGTGGGGGAGGGGTGTGATGAGCAGTGGGATGTGAAGGACGAGCGGCGGGCCTGCCTGTCACCGGGGCTGAGAGCTTGGCGAAGGCTGTACATCATCTATCCTTCATTGGCTCATGAAACCCATCTCGGCTGAGATGCAAACGTGCAGGATGACACATAGATTTTTCATCTTCAGTCCTGATACTTCTGGGCTCCCTGTGCATCATTAAATTGTTTCATTTTTCTACGTTCACCACAGATGTGCTGCCGCCGGTTCCAGGCCAAGGGGATAAAACGGCAACGATGCTCTCAGATGGAGCCATTTATAGCAGCATTGACTTCACGACCAAAACCTCTTACAACAGCTCCAGCCAAATAACACAGGCTACCCCATATGCCACGACACAGATCCTGCATTCCAACAGCATCCATGAATTGGCTGTCGACCTGCCTGATCCCCAGTGGAAAAGCTCGATTCAGCAAAAAACAGATCTGATGGGATTTGGTTACTCTCTGCCTGATCAGAACAAAGGTAACAATGGTGAGTCAGGTTCTTATTTCCTGAGGATTCCTTTTCGTATCATTTGTGCATGAGATAGAAATTAGTATTTGTCGTTCAGTTTAGTGACTCATCACCAGGTTCACTATCTAAACTAAAAGCATATATCGGCATGTATTCAGCACCTTGCGGTTTCTTCCACCACCACTGCCACCACCACCACCGCCACCGTCACCACCGCCGCCGTTGCTCCTACCAAACGCCAACGCCAGCCTTTTTCATCCCTTCAGCTCTTTTTCGATACAGTGATCGGTAATCCATCTCAGCTTCCATGAGGCAGGACAGACACACATTCCCCCACTGTCCTCCCACATCTGCTTCTGAGTTGCTAACTGCATGTTCTGCATGGGCCTGTGCTGTGGACTAATCACATGCTGCCACTGTGACCTCTGCCCTTTAACCCTTAGCCGTACTTTACATCCCTGACTACCGATTGGCTGAGGGACTGTCTAATAGAATGCCACACAACCAGTCTCAGGATTTCAGCACCACCAGCTCTCACAACAGCTCAGAGCGGAGTGGCAGTCTCTCAGGTTGGTCTCATCACAGTAAGGAGAAATATTTGTTTGTCACCAGCATATGACCTGTGTTCCTAACAGCCACGAGGAAAACTAAATCACAGCTCATGGTCAGGCATTTCTCTTTCAGGACAGGACAGTTTATCCTATTGAAATCATGATTGCACGTGGGGATAGACATCAACTGTCACCTTGATGCACCAAGTGTCCGAGGATATATTTACTGAAAAACAGTGTCATTTTACTAAATACTGTTCATTAAAGAGCAGGTGTATTTGATCTGCCTTGAACCCTACTTAAGTGTCAAAAGAACTTTACATTAAAAAAATCATATGGGGAAGTCAACTACATGGTGTGGACAATTGAAAAATGAGTTCAACTAAAGTGCAATTGGTTTTAGAGATTTTTCATATTAGGACTTTAGTGATATGCCTTCCTATTTTTGGACAATCTTTACAAAATATCGTGTAAAGGATATTTATTATCTATTAAATGATGTTATTTGAAGTAAGGTATTGACACCATACTAAACATGTATGTTACAATGGGACATTTCCTTCACAATCAATTCACCCTGCAAAATAGTCTTTCAGATTGGTAATTTTTCTATGCCATAAATTTTAATACCTATTTGAGATATATCAGCCAAACTGCCAACTATAATGTAGGTATTATATAGCATGTGTAGGGAAAAACACATTTTACTGGACAGAAATATATACCTGTCATACTGACTATCAGTGATGTCCTCCAGGCCCAAGGTGTTTACCTCTGAAATTCAGAGGTCACAGTAGACACACTTTAACTTCCAACCATAACATCTACATTGTATACTGATGAATTTATCTACACTCTTCTAATTAATTCCATGTCTCTACTTGCTTAACTTTTCATATTAATGATATCCCATTTTTAAATAAATATCTTTAAACTACAGGTTTTTAGCAAAGGACTGTAGTATATTATATGTTGCACAACTATCAGGCATCAAGCCCATAAAGAGTTAATTCTTTTACATCATTAGGGTAACATTTACTAAACGACTTTTCCTCAGGAGATAGAACCCTTTCAGTCTGAAAATGTTAATGCTTTTTTTTTTTCACTCCAAAATGGGCCATTTGCTCTTCTTACCTATTGGTAGAATTAGATACATTATAGAATCCAGAAAAATTTAAACATCTGTTATGAATTTAAAGTGACTTAATAAAATAGATGACTTTTTTGAATATCCTTATATGCCATTCATACTGTCATTTATTTATAATGAGTCTCACAATTGCCCTGAATAATTAAAAAGTAATTTATCTATTTTAGGCTTATTTCATTCAAGATATGTAGAGTCTTAAGCAATATACATATAAAAATACCTCCATGCTCCATGCTGTAAGCCATGGAATACATAAGACCTGTGAATCCTTCATAAAATATTCTGTACGTGTTAATTGCTGCCGAGTTTTAGAAGTTATCTTTTGAGTAATTGTAAGCAGAACAAGATTCACAATAGTGCTTACTTCTTTTTGAATCTATTAATCTCTTGAGTGACATTTACATATATCTATGCATTATAGTAACTACCTCATCTACATTTGAATACGAAATCACTTAAATCAGTGAGAGAAAGCATTCTTTAGGAGGTGGAAGCAAATTGAGTATTCCCTTTTTAGTTCAGTTCAATTGAATTTAATATTACAGACTTCATTTTATTCTTATAATCATGAATATGTTTCCTAAGGCTCAAGTTTAGGATCAAACTGCCCTACGGTTATCTAATCATATCATATTGTAAGATTTTCTTAATTCGTGCACAGTCATGAAACCAATTTAAAGTAACTGCAGTAATAAAGAAAATTGGACATTTCAGAATTGTTCGAGTGAATTTCTCATCCTCTTTGAAACTTTTATAATTTATTCAATATGTAATTTACAAACACTTTTGTTAACAATCCAACCATTAAAAAATATAAAAGAAAACTCAGATCTTTCAAAAGAGCATCTACATCATAATTATATATATAATATATATATATTATATTTATATGGCACAATATCAGCATCAATGACTAAATATTTTTATACAGGAATATTTTAAAAAATAGTCTATAAGCTTAATTTGAAAATGAGCTATTTTCATAATTTTCTTTGCATAGAAAAGTTCAGCATAAATAAATGTAAATCCAAATATTTACATTTTGGGTTGAGGAGCTATGGGTCAAATATATTTGCAAGTCATCAAAATATGTTCTCCTAAAGTGTAATGCAGGCAGTGTTCACTTTAAAATGCTTGAGGATCTTTTGTTGCAATTAACAGCAACAAACTATGTCTCACTTAGCTCCAGATTTAGATCTCAGATAGAAAATGTAATTTCCTTAGCTTATGACATATGCCCACCACCATGCTAAGAGCCCATCTGTCTTGGCTTGATGCTATAAGACAAAGCACATTGATTGATAGTCCTTCCAAGACTCTCCCACAATAAGAGCACAGAAATTTTCCCCAAAGAGAGGTATTTGAACACTGGATGGAGACCCTTACAGCTTCCCTGGATGAATCAGCTGTTTCCACAATACATTTTTTAAAAAAATATATCTTTATTGATTTCAGAGAAAGGAAGAGAGCGGGAGAGAGAGACAGAAACATCAGCGATGAGAGTCGGTATTGATCGGCTGCCTCCTGCACGCCCCCGACTGGGGATCGAGCCCACAACTGTGATGTCCTGGATCCTAGGTCGATGCTCAACCACCGAGCTATGCCTGGCCAGCCACAATACATTTTCAAGTCTGTTGTTTGAGTTGATAATGGCTTTCTTGACCTTGAGTAAGGACTTCAGTAGAGTTGGGTTCAGAGCTCCAGAAATAGTAATTTCCGCAAAAACAGCTGCATTTAAAATTGATTTTTCTTACCATGTGAATATGGGCCATAGACACTCAGAAAGCACCTCCACTTTCTCATGTATAAAATGGAGGTGTAAGAACTTGCCTGTTGGTGTCGCTCTGTTCTGGTGGTGAACATGTAACATTGCTAAAAGTGCTACGAAGAGAGTAAAAAACATTGCACACTTATAAATATAAGGAATAAAGGAGGCACAACTAGAGAAAAAGCTATGGACCATGTGTCCCAACCCATTCCCCTTTTAATTGTTGAAATATAGTTCTGATGCAACAGAAGAGAATACAGTGCTTGTTTGGGTGGGTAACCAGGAAACAAAGGATTAAGGCTCATCTAACTTAAACAAAAAAATTAGAGACATGAATTCAAACAAGTTTATTGCTCTGATTCTGAGAATCAGGCTATGCCTGTGATACTCTTTGGAGTTGGAGGAGTTGGGTGGGGTAAAGGCTGTAGACATGGGTAGAACCTGGTTTGCTCTGAGACAGAGACAATTGGCATATTTATTGGACATTCTTTACATTCTGAGCCCTTTCCATACATTGTCTCATGAAATCCTCAAGATGCCTAAAGAAGTAGTAACTGTATATCTGTTCCACATGTGTGGAAATTGATTGAGGTTGTATCTATTGAGCAACTGATCAAGTAGTTGAGAAACTAACCTTTAAACCCAGAGATCAAGCTCTTATCCTTGAAGTTGAAGATACCTGTTCTCCTTGCTCTAAATACCTCTCATTCTGCCAAAGATAGAAATGAAAGGAAAGGTGAAAACACTTTGTTTGCAGGAATGCTCTTTTACATATGTGTATGTATGTGCACACTGCATAGAAAACAGACATAGTTCTATAATTGGCAATATTGTATATATGTCAGTTTAACAGTTTAATCATTTTTTGGCACTTAAATGACATAATTTTCTGAATTGGCTGATGCATATTAGTAATGGAAAGAAGGGAGCTGAAGTAGACTTCTAGTGATATCTCTATTGCTAGACAGCCCTGATACAAATATTTGATTCTTACAACTTTTAGTTCCAAAAGATGAAATCCAAGGAGTCGGCACCATTTGTTGGAAGCCTAGCTATAGGCTGCTGTGGAAATGATGGAAGTTCCTCAGGTTCCCCTTGGTCATCCTGCTCAGGACGTATTCATTCCTGCATCCACAGTGGTCCATTTAGGAAGAAACTTTATTTACTTAACCCTGAAGGAGTGAAAAATTTGGCACTATACAAATGATAATGTTTATTTTATATCTTATTAAACTCCTATAATTCCAGATACGGCCTGTATGCTGTGGGGTTACTTTCAGCTCATGCTTTGTGCATGGATTCGTTTGTATTGCAATGGTAATGAAACTGATTACTGTGTTTCCATTCATTTTTCCTTCCTCTTTGGAATTTAGGAAATACTATGTTTAAAACATCTGGGAACTACGCTCCCTGTATGCAGAAAAAAATTGTGTTGTTCATTAGTTAAAAGTTATATAAACATATTAGTGTGAAAGATTTATAACTTATCCTCCGGTATAGCCAATTGATTTTTTATCAGTTACTTTTAAGAGAAAACTGTTACTCGCCTGGATTAATTAAATTGATTAAATTATAAAGGAAAAGTTTAGCCTGCATTTTGCACTGGGAGAGATTTATGCAAAAGAGCATTATAAATGCACTAAAACCTGACATTTGAAAGAATTTGTTATGGCCCATTGTTTCACGTAACAATGAAAATGTGGAGGCAGCACCCGGGGATAATCAATAAATGTGCTTTTCCTAGAGCAGCCACGTTCTTGGTTTACTCAGCTCTGTCGTTAATGCATTGGGAAAGAAACAATCTCATTTTGAGTGATTTATAAAAATGTTTTTCTGATTGTATCGTTTCCTTGTTTATAGCTTTTAACAACTATAACATACTGATTCTGGTGTTTTGAAAACATAGATACATCTTCCCATCTGACGTCCTTTGTTTCTTCCGATATTTTGTATGTCTGAGTAAATGCATTATCACTTTCAGGTGGGAAAGGTGGAAAAAAGAAGAAAAATAAAAACTCCTCCAAACCGCAGAAGAACAATGGATCGACTTGGGCCAACGTCCCGCTGCCTCCCCCTCCTGCGCAGCCCCTCCCTGGCTCCGAGCTGGAGCACTACGCGGCGGAGCAGCAGGAAAACGGGTGAGCGGGCTTAGATGCCGGGCGTCCCTCCTCCCTGTGTGCACGTCTGCCTTGATTTACCCTGTGTTCTCCTCCTGTCCCCCCTGCCCCCTTCCCAGCCTGCTCACCGCTTCTCCCCCCTTTCCTTGTTTGCACCAGCTATACGTTTTTAGCTGATAAATACAACACAGCACATACTGAGGCCTGGACTCCTCGGCATCAAGTGCCTTAGATTGTCTGCAATCATGATAATGCAGCCTCCATTTATAATATTGCCTGTTAGTTTGAAAGCAAGTACCCACAGCTCTGTGAACTAAAGAGCCACTCCTGAGAAGGGCCGAAAGGGAATTAAAATAACCTCCTTCATCATCCCTCGCAGCTCTCTAATGACTCGGTGTCTGGCCATAGCAGGGCGCCCGCGGGGGAGCTCGGTCACAATGGGATAATTGTAGAGACCTGGCCGCCCGGCAGAACTTTAATCACCAGCCTTGATGGGAATTTGGGGGCTTGGACAATAAAAGACAGGCACGCGCTGTCACAAAACCTTTTTAAGTAAGAAAAAGTCCTTTGAGGGCCTTTAAATGCGACCAGTTTCCTTATTTTTTTCCTAAACATCTCACAAGAGTTAGTTTGTTTTGTTCTGTTAGTTGTCGTGTTAATAGATTGTAAAGCAGAAAGACACGGAGACGTTTGATTCTCTAACCCAAAAACAAATAGCGAGTCAGAGGAAACATACTCGGTCCCTTTTTCTTTTTAACACTGGTAACCGCTTTGTCTTCCTCAGTTTCCAAGGTCACCATTGTTTTTGGATAAAACTGAACAGTACGGAATAAAGACAGTTTCTCTTTTTCTAAGTTTTTCTTTATTTAGAAGTTTTTAGATAAAAATACTAATATTAAACTTTTAATTAGATATTAAAATTCAGTTTATTTGAATAATGGTCTATTTTCTGTCGTTTCACATTAAGATCAGATGCACATGCTTATACATTTTTCCTCCTTNAAATTCAGTTTATTTGAATAATGGTCTATTTTCTGTCTTGTTTCACATTAAGATCAGATGTACATGCTTATACATTTTTCCTCATTTCTTTCTTTTTACATAGCTGCTGTCTTGTCTTTGAAGTCTCCAGATTAATTTTGCTCTGTCACAAACTTTGTATCCATCAAAAGACCTATTTGCTTTTTCTTCCAGTTATGTAATACATATACACATACATATGTATACTGCGTATACTATATGTGCATTATATACACAGATATATAAATACATAGATAGGCATATATATACATATGCATATTTCTATATTTTTTTATATATCTTTCCCTCCAAAGCACTTCATTCACTTCTATGAAATTATGGCTCCCATATATAAACATATTATTAATTTACTTTTAAAAAATAAGTTCACATTTGAAATAAGAAATTAAGAGCACACCCCTTTTCTTTGACTTAAATACAAGATTCTGCCTATGATCTTATGTAATTCATATTGGTAATATAAATGTGTTAATGTTACATGAATCCTGGGCAGAGAAAAACAAGATGTATTATTCCACAAGAAAATATTACTTTCAGGGCTTAGAAATCTTCAGTTTAAAAAGTTTATTACTCTTAACAAAAAATAGCCGTTAAGTCTTAACCTGTCAGTAAACTGATAGCAAAATTCAATTTCCTTATATTTTGGATTCAGTTTTTTAAAGACTAACACTTGAAAATTTTTATTTCAATTGTTTGTAATGAAAAAAATATTTAAAGCCAATATGACAAGAATAAATTAAAATGAGCAGATTTGGAAAGGCTTTTTCCATTTCCTGTTTTAGTCTTTAAAGTTTTGTTTTTCCTAATGTGAAACATTATAGTACTGAGAAGGCAAGGTGTTTGAACGCTTCCTAGACTATTTATACTCTGGTACTCATGATGTTGACATTGGCTGTTTTGCAGATGGGATCTTCTATACGGTTGTTTATATGCCTTGATTTGAAATTTATGCAGGTTTAAGGTTTTCTTGAGACACAAACAAAAACTTTAGAACTCACCTTTTTTGTTTTGAATAATTTTTATTTTGAACAACCAAGGAGTCTGCAATTGCACTTCTTATGGCAATATATTGTTTNTAATGGTCTATTTTCTGTCTTGTTTCACATTAAGATCAGATGTACATGCTTATACATTTTTCCTCATTTCTTTCTTTTTACATAGCTGCTGTCTTGTCTTTGAAGTCTCCAGATTAATTTTGCTCTGTCACAAACTTTGTATCCATCAAAAGACCTATTTGCTTTTTCTTCCAGTTATGTAATACATATACACATACATATGTATACTGCGTATACTATATGTGCATTATATACACAGATATATAAATACATAGATAGGCATATATATACATATGCATATTTCTATATTTTTTTATATATCTTTCCCTCCAAAGCACTTCATTCACTTCTATGAAATTATGGCTCCCATATATAAACATATTATTATTTTACTTTTAAAAAATAAGTTCACATTTGAAATAAGAAATTAAGAGCACACCCCTTTTCTTTGACTTAAATACAAGATTCTGCCTATGATCTTATGTAATTCATATTGGTAATATAAATGTGTTAATGTTACATGAATCCTGGGCAGAGAAAAACAAGATGTATTATTCCACAAGAAAATATTACTTTCAGGGCTTAGAAATCTTCAGTTTAAAAAGTTTATTACTCTTAACAAAAAATAGCCGTTAAGTCTTAACCTGTCAGTAAACTGATAGCAAAATTCAATTTCCTTATATTTTGGATTCAGTTTTTTAAAGACTAACACTTGAAAATTTTTATTTCAATTGTTTGTAATGAAAAAAATATTTAAAGCCAATATGACAAGAATAAATTAAAATGAGCAGATTTGGAAAGGCTTTTTCCATTTCCTGTTTTAGTCTTTAAAGTTTTGTTTTTCCTAATGTGAAACATTATAGTACTGAGAAGGCAAGGTGTTTGAACGCTTCCTAGACTATTTATACTCTGGTACTCATGATGTTGACATTGGCTGTTTTGCAGATGGGATCTTCTATACGGTTGTTTATATGCCTTGATTTGAAATTTATGCAGGTTTAAGGTTTTCTTGAGACACAAACAAAAACTTTAGAACTCACCTTTTTTGTTTTGAATAATTTTTATTTTGAACAACCAAGGAGTCTGCAATTGCACTTCTTATGGCAATATATTGTTTTTGTGTTTGTTGTTTTTAACATATCATAATACAGAATTTATTCAACACTTTTTTTTCTAGGTACATAAGAAGGGCTAGTTTCTGTGTTAAAAGGAAAGCCACAGAGATGACAGAAAAGAATACAAAATTAATAAGGAAGATCTAATCCCTGATCTAGGGAGCTCATAAGAGAGGGAGATAGAGACTGGAAACGACACACACACACACACACACACACATTATTTTGTATTAGCAATGTGCATACAATAATAACTTACATACAGAAAGGGATGATCACATACATCAGGTAAGGCTGGGGCAATCCTACAGAAGTTGAGTTTTGAGGTGAATCTAGAATTACCTATTTACAAATAACAATGCCCAGAATTGGGTGGTTGGTGCGGGCCAGGCTCCGAGTCAGAAGGAAAAGAGACAAAGGTGGTGAGACATAGGCCCTAACCTAAAGTAACCTGTGCGCCAGGATGGATCGCTACCCAGTGACTACAACAAAATGTTATTACTAATGTTGCCATTTGCTGTGCAGGTGAAAAGAAAATGTTCTAGCCAAAAGCAAAAAATAGATATGAAATTCAAGAGGAAGAAATAAAATTTAAAAAAATAATAAAAGCATAGCCCATTAGTCTTCTTTTGGTACTTTCCAGTCCTTGTAAACCCCGCCGTTTCCTAGTCACGGTTACTTGCCTGTCCTTTATTTTTCATCATTCCTTAAGCGGTACTCACCGCGTTTCATTCAGGCTGCCTGTCTGTGGCCTTCCACAGCTGGCGGCTGCTGCTCGAGGTTGGTGAGCTTGAGACACGCACAGGCCGGAGGGAATCTGAGAGGCGTCCTGAGGACAACTCTGAAACCTCGCGTGTCATATAGGGATTCCGATCGCTAGGTGTGGGTGATGCGCTGGAGGACAGGAGGCTGGGCGTAATGAATGGCATATTGCAGCAGGGTGGCCAATATCATGAAAACGATAAGCGAATAAAATAAGAGATGGAGGGACAGGGTTAGATTCTGGAGATACGCCTAGCTGAGAATAATCACAATCTTGGAAAGATTGTCTCTTGTTTTTTTATTATAATGTTTAGTATTGTTTCTAAGAAGTTGGATATTATCAATTTTTCCCCAAGCCCTTCTTGGGTCATTTTCCCCCACTGTACTAATATCAAAAGTATCAAATCATTGTCCAAATGGAGAACGTATTTAACTGTTCATCCAGTGCCATAGCACCAGTGGTGAATGTTCTCTCTCATCAATACGCCTCTCTCAACTTGACAAAAAAGTGTCAAATATATTCATTTTTTGCTATAAATATAAGGTACTTTTAATATAATCATATGATGCTAGTAGGAATTTAGTAATCGTTCAGTAGAAAACATGCTCTGCTTTGTTACTGCAATTAGAGATCGGCAAGCTTTTGCGGGTGTTGAACTTTATTGTATTCTTATTGGGGACTTGGTATTTGTAGTTGGCCTTTAACAAGTCAGTTCACATGCAACACTGATTTGTTGTCATCTTTCTCATTGTTCACGGGCGAGACGATATGATGCCTCACTTCACCGCCAACGTCAAGGAACAAAAGCTCCTCCAGGAAAGGTTGCCCAGGAGAAATTCTGTCTGGCAGTAGAAGCATTTTCACAGTCTTTTTGATGTTACTGCTGAAATTTCAGCGCTCAACTAAGATATGTATCTGTAAATGTGAAGAAAACTCTAAAAACAGAGCTACGCTTTTCATAACACTTATGGAGACATCTGTTACTTTCTTGCCCATCGTTAGAAATCGCATGAAACCCAAGTAGTTGTTGTTGTAGGACGGATTAACACAGGACTGCGTCAGAGATGAGGGACAGCAGCTAATGACCCCACCATGCCACCTGCTCCCTGCCCAGGTTTCCTTCATCTCTCCTCTTATGTTCTTCCTCTCTAGTCTTTCTTTTGTTCCCTCTGTCTCTGTTTTCTACATCTTGCACAAACCACTGGCAGACATGAATCCATGGACTTGACTCAGCTTTGCTTATGTTCTCTCTCTCTCTCTTCCTCTCTCTAAACATATCCTTGGGTGACGATAAAAATAGAAAAGAAACCTAGGCATTTATATTTTTATTTATTTGTTTGTTTATTTGTTATTATAGTTTTAATGCTCATCTGAGGATATGTTTTTATTGATTTGAGAGAGAGAGAGACAGAGACAGAGAGAAACATCGATGTGAGAAACATCCATTGGTTGCCTCCTGTACACACCCTGATCAGGATTGAACCTGCAACCCAGGTATGTGCCCTGACTTCCCAGGAACCCGTGACCTTTTTGGTGCATGGGATGGTGCTCCAACCAACTGAGCTACCCAGCCAGGACCTAAGCATTTTTTATTAATGAAGCAATTTATGTATTTTTCAAATCAATAAATATGCTTATCACCTAGAGTTTTTAAGGTATTATGTCAACGGTGGCCAGACAGGAATAATTCAGTGTCATAACTTCAATGTTGCATAAATATACTTGAGAAAAAGATACTCTTAATGTGTGAAAGTTTAAATACTAAAATAAGTTAGACAATAGTTAAAGAATCCAGCATTGGGCATGGCCTAAGACAATCTGTAATCAATTTTCAAGTAAATGTGCAAAAATATTGTCAGTGCAAGTTTAGAAAGTAATATATCAGTGCTAGTTGGCCACATGAAGGAAATCTTTATAAAGACACAGGATTTATCCTGGAGCTTGAAGGGTTTTTAAGATTAAGGAAGGTGAAATTGGAGGAGTGCAGTTTATTTGAAATAAGTTAAATTCTTTAAACTAGTGTACCAGGATGGAAAAGTACAAAAGAGGAAGAAAATAAACCAATTTATTTTGAGCAAGAGATTCTTGTTGAAAGGCTGAAAATCAAAAAAAAAAAAAACAAAACAAACACCAAACAAATCACCTGAAAAGGTAGGTTGAGACTTAGACATTTAACACGCAGAAGAATGAAGAGCAGTGAATATTTTATTCAAACAATTCGGTTTTTATAGACCAGTTCTGAAGTGGTGCACAGGATTCATTAGAGGGTGGGGAAACTACAAGCAAGAAATCCAAATGGAACAGTGGGTTAGAGACTTTTCACTCACCAGAATTTTTTCTTCAAACAGGAACAGTGGCATTGTTTTAGAGCAATAGATTTCCTCAGCCAGGTTGTTTTTAAGTTGTCGGTCAATGGGAATACAACTTTAACCGATGTATTTCCTAGTAGGTGGGAAAATTTTTGCAACATATTAAAGTGTGCTTGATTATACTAAAATATAGATGATATTTCTGAACAGATATTCCAATCAGGGCTTCTGAGACAAAGTCTTCAGTTTGCAACACATTGAGACAGAGGATTACTCAGGTAGCTTCAACAAGAGAGGAAAACTGAGCAGCCAAAGGTGATCTCATTCCCGGTGAAGGACCTCTCAGTAGCTATCCATCACCCACAGGCAGAAGTCCAAACTCCCCGTCGGAGCTGATGAGGCCCTGCGACCCGGCTCATCTCTCCCTCTCCTGCCCGTCGGCGGCCAACCTTCACCTGCCAGCTCTTGCCTGTCAGAGAACTATTTGAGTTCCCCAAATACTTTCCCTTTTCTCTTTCTCCAGACCAGCACATGTGTTACTTAGAACATCTTCTTTTCCAGTAGTCAGCTAGCCTTGCCCAACCGCAAGCCGAGTTCCAGCCTCCCTGCTCTCTCTTCCTAAGTATTCGATATTGCTGATTATTTGCTTGATATCGGTCTGCCCCGTTGGATTCCTTGCTCTGTGCATAAAGCCTGTCACCTGGCTCATGACTGTTGAGTGAAAGGATGATAAATTCAGGTTTTATAATACACTTTGTTTTTTAGATCAGTTTTAGATTAACAGTGAAATGGAACAAAAAACACAGATTGTTCGTGTACTCCCTGCCCCCGCCCCTTTGCAGAGCCTCTGCTACTATCAGTGTCTTGCACCAAAGTAGTACATTTGTTAAGGTGATGAACGTACCTTGATGCATTATTATCACCCATTAGGATTCACTCTGGGTGTTGCACATTCGTGGCTTTGAACAAATGTGCAGTGACATCTCTTCCCCACCATGGTAGCATACGGAGTAGCTTCACTGCCCTAAAAGTCCTGTGCTCTGCCTGTTCCTCTCTCCTTCCCCTTAACCTCTGGCAACCACTGAACTCCTTGCTGTCTCCATAGTTTTGCCTTTTCTAGAATGTCATACGGTTGGAATCATAGAGTGTGCAGCCTTTTCAGACTCACTTCTTTCGCTTCGTGATATGCATTTAATGTTCCTTATGCCCTTTCATTGCTTGATAAGTAAACCTCTGTGTAGGCTTTTTGATAAATTCCGTTTTAAACAAAATAAGTGAAAAGACACTTAAGGGCAAATATTCCAGAATCTTCTGGACATTTTCGAGTTAGCACTAGTAAGGGAGCTAAAGACGAGGTGCACACGTCTGTGTAGCTCACCCGCTTTTCAGTTTCTTTCATGAAGGCCTTCCGTACGCAAGACACTGTAATCAGCGCTGGAAATGCGAAGTTGGGAATTAGAGAGTTCTTGAGTTTAAGAATCTCACAGCATAGTGGGGAAAAAGACATGAAACAAATAATCTCAATATACCTTGGGGAATGCCACACTATGAGTATTAGGGAGTTATGATCAATGCCATATGAGGGGCCGAGAAAGCTTCACAAAGCTCAGGTTTGAATTGAACCTTGAAGGAACAGCTGGAGCTTACAGGTAGATGGTTGGAGAATAGTCATATACCGGTTTATAGCTTAGACAAAGTACCGAGTAGGCTGGTGTCGTGGAAATTAAACAATTACAATAAGCTGATCAGATGGAGAGGGCTGTTTAGGTCCTGCTAATGCATTTGAACTTTTTTCTCATATTAGCGATAATCACTGAATAATTTAAAGCATGAGTGTGATGTGGATGAAGATTCTAGAAATATAATCTGTTTGCTTGTGTAGAAGACATGAAGATGACATCCCCAAAAGACTAGGAGACCCAATGGGACAGTTCACACCCAAAGGAGACTGATCTGTGATGTGGAGGAAGCAGTCAGATGTAAAAGAAAGATTTGGAAAGTATTTAAGGTTGAAGGCATAGGAAAATTATATCTAGTATCGGTCATCCTATCTTATGTCTCTTTTTAAAAGAACATTAAGGTCTATTTGATTTATGAAAATAATAATACTACACAAGAGGTGTAAACAGAAATGCTACTGGTACAAGTAAAACTTTTAGAGTTAATTTTATAATTCCCTGGCCAGAGTCCCTAAAAAACATGCTGTTTTAAAATATGTCATTTTTCTTTCAAATATACATTTTATAGGGTTAGGTTTTGAACTTCTGTTTTATAGCTGTTAGGTGTTGAAATATAGGGAGGCATGAGTTTCTACTAAGAAAATTAAGAGAATCAAAGGACTATTGAATAATTTTGTAGCACAAAATCGTAATGATTAACATGTCATATGGATTGAAAGGTTGGCATAGATCTAGAACAAGAGTAAATAAGTTTCTCAAGCTCTTCTCAGACGATCAATATCGGCATATTCTCTTGGTACAAGAGGATGAACGGAAGAAAGTAGTTAAATCTACAAGCACTCAATTATTTAATCGTCTTTAATTAGCAATTTGTTTTTTCCACATGAGTAACTTTGTTGGGAAGTCACTGCCTTTTATAACTGTGGGGTAACAATTCGGTAATAAGATCCTTTACGAATAAATTGAGATATGGAGATAGCAGATGTAATTAGGATTAGAAATTAAGGTAACAGCCAGGAGATTTACTGTGGCAACACTAATAACTGGGAATCAGGAGGAGATAAACTGAGAGCACAGTTCAGATACCCGTTACCACTGTGGCTGTTGCTTACGGCCAGTATAATTGCGCGTGTGCACGTGTGTATATTCTAATGTGCTTTTTGGTCTCCTTTAATTTCAGCTATGACAGTGACAGCTGGTGCCCGCCGTTGCCGGTACAAACCTACTTGCACCAGGGCATGGAAGACGAGCTGGAAGAAGACGATGAGCGCGTCCCGACACCTCCTGTCCGAGGGGTGGCCTCGTCCCCCGCCATCTCCTTCGGGCAGCAGTCCACGGCGACGCTCACGCCCTCCCCGCGCGAGGAGATGCAGCCCATGCTGCAGGCTCACCTGGACGAGCTGACCAGGGCCTACCAGTTTGACATAGCCAAGCAAACATGGTAATGCCCTCAGCGGGCCGGGGACCCGGGCTTTCAAAACGTGGAGGAAGGAAACGTTCTTTCCGTTAAAGTCCCAAGGGTTCTCGTGGAACTGTACAGCTGGGGTTAGAAAGGCCTTTGTGCAACTTTTTAATTATCTAGATAAGGAATTGACCCACGAGATGCTAAATAATATGACCAAAGTCACAGAGCTGGGGAGAGTGAGTGGAGCAAGAAGTTAGATCTGTTGAATTTCAGGCTGAAGTGCTTTTGGCTACAGCAGAGTATTTTCTAATTTATAGTTTAACTTCAATTAGCTTATCCTTGGACTCACTTCCAACACCATGATAAAAGTCTCCTCTCAGATTCTCTCAAGTGTCTATAATTAATTCTGCACGTGGTTGTGAATATATAAAAGTAAGCTTCTGTAAATCACCTATGGTCAGTGTCAGTTATTAAAAGACCTTCTTTGGGCCGAATTAAATGAGAAAGGAAAAATTACAATATTAGTAGCAGTAAATGCATTTAAAAACACAGAATGAATTACAAATCCCGATTGCTTTCTTTCTAATAAATCTATAAACCTGCAGAAGGTATAAATGGAAATCTACTTAGGTGTCCTGGGAAAATATGACAGCAATACAACTGGGACCAATCCTCATTATTTTGTACAGTTATTTTTCTCATTTGCTCTCTCTTCTCCCAAATAGTAACATAAAAGTCTGACTCCTAAAAATTACATCTTGATGATATATCTTTGCTTATCTCTTTTTGATTTATACCTTGTGCTTGAAGTTAGAGTACATTCTTATGATAGAGTATTTGCTTCTTTTTGATAGTTTTGGCTACTGGGATAAGTTGATAAGATACATTTTATTCACTGTATTAAGGAACTATTTATTTTAAAAACACAGTTAAATATACAAAGAGGTACTAAAACCAGGAATTTCACTTAAAGCTTATTAGAAACAGTCTCTTTTCTTAGATTTAGATATTCTTGAATATTTTTCTCAATTAGATGGGTTTTTTTGCAAAGATTAAACACTATCTATTTTTAAAGTGTTATTTTGTATCAGACTGCTTTATAAAACACCCCTCTTTTAAGTTGAAGCCAGCTGCTTTACAAGCCAGAAGATTTCCTTCAAGTTAACTTCTGAAGCTCTGTAGTTTAGTTACTTAAAGCACAGGTTCTAGCTCAGGGTTCTCAAATCCGACTGAATTTTGGAATCACCTGGACAGCCTTACATATATCGATACCTAGGCCCTATTCCGGATATTCTGATGGCTTAGTGTGGTTTTCACTGGGGGTAGCCAGGCTGGGGCCACCGCCATGGCCACTTACTAGCTGTGTGACGCTGGGCAACTTATCTAACATTTCTGGGCTTCAGTTCCCTGTTTGTAAATGATGTTGGTCATAGTAATTTGTTCATATATAAGTCCCCAAGAATATTCTCTGGTTCAGGAGTTCACTAGAAAGACCACAGAGCTCACAGGAAGCTCTTACACTGGGTTACAGTGTATTATAATGAAAATATGCGGAGTAAAGTTAGCCAAGAAAAGATGCATGGGATAGAGTCCCGGACAGTTGCAAAGACAGAACGTCCAGTTGTCCTCCCAGGGGAGTCAGGGAGAGCATTCCTTTCCTGGCAACAGTGTGCACCAATATGAAGGAGCATTGCCCACCAGAGAAGCTCGCATGAGCCCTGGGGTTCAGTCTTTACTGGGCTCTGTCACACAGACATGCTGACCACCTGCATGGCTGACCTCGATCGCCAGCCCCTCCAGACGGCAAGCTGACCCCTTGTGACTCGAAGACCCTACCATAAGTCTCATTGATAGACTTTCTGGAGGCGCCTAAGGCCTCCAAGGAACAAAGACATTTTTATCAGACAGAACATGCTAGTGCTTAGAAATTACCTTCCCAGAGCACAGGGCAAAGGCCTACCTTCTCTTTAGGCAAGGACAAGCTTATTAATACACATCACAGCTTTTGTGAGAATTAAATGAGTTTGCACTTATATTGTACTTTGTAAAGAATCTAGCTTCTTCCAGCCAACAATCCTCCGGAATGTCATTGCTGACTCCTGGGCAGGGATATGAGACTCCAGGTGCTCACTCAGGACTTGCTCTTCTGGAGTGGAAGCACCTCCCTATCTGAGCTGCACATCAACACCCCAGGAGAAACGTTTACAAAGTAGTAACCCCCAGGCTTCAACTCCAGGGACTCTGCTCATGTTGGCCCCTGAAGTGAACAGCACAGTGCCTGCCAGGAGGAGATGTTTAAAAATGTTACATGAGTTCTTTCCATATTTCAGTGTATCTCCCAATTCTGCCAAACTCAAGGAGTATTGTTCACCCCTCAATGTACCTCCGTTCCATCAAAAGGTGTCAATAGTGATGTAGGATAGAGGGTTGGTCTGTCTGGTCCTTCCCAGAGCCAAGGGGTCCTTCCCAGAGCCAAGGGGCCCACCCTTAGAGGGGGAGTCGTGTGTGTAAACATCACCTTATAGTCACTTGTTCATCACTTGGCTCACTTCATCTTTGATCCACAAACAGCATTCGAGGCCACTCTTCCAGCAAGGTGTAGTCATCCACACTCAAGACTTTTGTCAGAGTAGTTAAGGAACTAATAACCATGGGGCCTCACATTCCCAATCTGTTCAATTAAAGATGTGGGCCTGATGATATTGAGGTAGCTCCCGGAGTTAATATATTAGGTGGTGTTTGTTTTTAATTGAAAGACCTAGAATCTTGTTAACATTGGGGTTGGCTACAAATTCAAGAATGCGTTTGCGAGAGGAATATTAACTCTGGAAGAGTGAAATATTTTTCCTCACAATGCAAAAATTAAAGAAAAATGATCTTGTATCTTTAAATAAAAAACTAACAGTAAAAATGTATATAGCACTTGTTTTCCATTTCCTTAAATAGCAGAGGTTTTTTAAATACTTTGTTTCAAAGCAAAAAAACACACAGAATGCTTAATGTGGCCAAACATGTGGTATATTCACTCTTTAATGAGGATAAGAAATGAACTGTGTTTTTGTTTGGCATTTCACTGCTTAGAAAAAACTCTTAAATATATGCAAAGTGAACTGAGGGAATCCCAGTGTCCGGCTCTCTATTTTACTAACCACATGATTTGAAACAAGTCATTTAAATTGAACTTCACTTTAGTAAATTCTAAAAGAGAGTTCTATCTGCTTCACAAGGTTGGGATGAAAGTCACTCTCCATTGCAAAGGGCTTATTGAGCACCGTATGTGCTGAGCTCGGGGTGCTGAGATGAGTCTCTTCTGCCTTCTGGAGTCTAAGACTGCGGTGGGTGACACAGAGGCACAAATAAGTAGCTACAACACAAAGTCCTCATTCGTACCCTAAACCGGTTTAAAAGTAAAACAGGTGTCAGCCTGATTCTTGGAGGATCATGTAGGAAGAAAGCTTTGTAGGGCGAGGGATGTGCTTGTGGTTGGGGCCAGGGGCATTGGTACCGGGCCTTAACGTGACATCTTCTGTTCCTGAGGGTCAGCAGGTCACATAGGTTACACAGGTTGAGTAGAACTTTGATACAAAGCTGGGAACAAAATTATTATGTTCTTTTTGAACCAAAGCACAGTCAGCTTTAAACAGTTATTTGTGACAAATATTTCTATTCTCCTTTGGAAGATTTATTTATACTAAACAGTGCTGGATCTGCCTTCTTTTTCCCTGTGTGTCATCCCATAAATGCCACCTGAAGAGTGTGATAGTACAGGTTGCAGGTGTTGCTTTGGCAAGTCGTGTGTACGTAGACCACTGACTCTGCTGAAATGTAAGAAAGGACTGTGAGCCTCAAAATAATCAATGGAACACAAGAAGAGAATTTTATGGGATGTTAACAAATTTATTTTTTCTCCATTTAAATTCTAGGCACATTCAAAGCAATAATCAACCTCCGCAGCCCCCGGTTCCACCATTAGGTTACATGTCCGGAACCTTGATTTCTGACTTGGAAACAGATGTTCCAGATGATGATGATGCTGATGAAGAGGAGGAGACTTTAGAGACGCCCAGGCCCCTGAGAGTGCTAGAGCAGACACCCGGATCCAGTATGGACAATCTGGACAGCTCTGTGACAGGTAACAGAACGGATTCAATAGGAATAACTGGCCTCTTTGTAGCACTAAAATGCATCAAAAATCAAATTCTTTCTTATGTAAGATTCATTCCACTCCATCTATCTCTGTAACATTTTAAATGGGTTAATATTAAACACAAAACTCAAAAAGGATTTGGAAACATTTTTGCTTTGCTGCAAAAATGATAAGAAAATTTCATGAATTTTAAAAAGCTTTAAAGACATGAAAGAAAACTCAATTATATCCAGGGCTTTCATGAAAAGTTCACTGCACTGGAGAACCAAGTCTATTATATAAAAACCTTGACTTTTAGAAATGATCTATTTTGTATTAACAGGGACAACAAAAGTACAAAGTGAATGCAATCTTAATACCCTTCTTGATATTTTACTCTGTAAAATCATTCATTGATGAAAATAAGCAACTCTTCAGAATAAGTATTTCTAAGGTTGCACAGGTATTATTTTTAAAAGAGTGGAGAAACTGGAGAGCGAGATAAACCACACGCTTATGCATTTCATAGTGTTGGGTCCAATAACTGCTTCTCTCCCACAAAGGTGTCCCTGTCTACCCTCTGGCTCCCTCTTCCCTGTTCACTGAGTGGAAGGCCGCAGCTGGGGCTCCAGCAGGAGCACCTCAGTATTGCAACTTATTTCTAAGGATTTGAATTTATCACATTTTATTGGGAAAATTTAAATTCTAATACATACACAATGACTATGGAAAAAAGTAAACATTCAGTCTTTCTATCCATTCTTGCCCCCCCCCCTTCCACACACACGCCTCTTGCATGACCATAAAGACATAACTCCTAAAAATGTAAGTTTGCCTCTGCATGTCATTGTGTCTTCTCAGAAAACTACCCGTTTCTGCCGTTACCTTGATGCTGTCCTTCATCGGAGGCATTGCATCACAGTCCCATTTCATTTCTTTTCACACCAGCAGCTTCCCAGTTTGCACAGGTTTTGCATTATGTGTTAGAGTTCAAAGAACCTTGATGAAGTCTGCGTTCTGACGTGATGGAGAAGCGTGAGTGCCTAGATGTCCCCTCCGCATCCCTTCCTGAATTACAGAATGTGTGACGCATCAGCCCACAGTTCAGTTCTTCTTCTTACCTGGGGCTGTCTGCTTGCTAGGCTAATGAAAATTTAGGAGCCGCAGATATACAGCTGGGATTTGAAATCCAGATCTAGCTGAAGGTGGCAGAGCACAAGTTTAAGTCTGTGAATCCTGAGAGCTAACTTATTAGTACACTGTTATGTTCAACCCTGAATTTCTACCATGATCTCCTTCAGGGTAAAGTTCTGCATGTTTTTGCATATCTCACTAATGACACTGAACTCTTTGCCGTTAGGAATGAGGTGGAGAATTGCAATAATAATACAAAAAAGTGAGCTGTAGCCCATGTAGTTCTTTTATTAAATATTATAATTTCAAAGATGATAAATATACCTATAAATCAGGAGAGTGACGTTTTCACTTTTACATACTCACCTGTTAGTAACGTGTTAGACTATCTAATGTGACTGCAGTTAAAAACAACTTGTGTTTCTTCTTGTAGCTTAGTATACTGTTCATTCCAAATGAAACTTTTATAGCTAAGAAAGCAGTCTGTTTTCCTACTTGAATCTACTGAATCCACTGCTTAATTACAGCCATATATAAAAACTTCTGGGTGTTTAGGTATGAGTTCTGTGATGCATTTGTTCAATGAACAATACATCTGTTTAGCAAAAGTAGTCACAAGCTACACAAAATTAGCTGAATAGGAACCTTTCTTGTTTCTTTCATCTTTCTTTCTTTCTTTTTGGCTCTACAATAATAACTTTATGTAGAACATGTGATCAGAGATTTAATTTGCTTTCTCTGGTACAAGTATAATATAAGTTAAATAGAAAAGTAAATATATTTTCTCAAAATAGTATGTGTGTATAGAGAGTGTGAGTGTGTATAGATGCATGTGTGTGTGTGAGTATGTAGATAGGGCTTAGGATTATATGTAAAATGTGCATGTGAGTGTGTGTAGGTGTGTTTGAGTGTCATTAGGGTGGTGAGTGTGTTAGAGTGTGAGTGTGTGTGTGTGCCTGCATTTATGTGCACATGGCAATGACCCCGAGGTAAATGTATGTAAGGACCAAATATTATAGAAATCCGCATGCTAAAGAATATTAGTCTAATGTGTTTATGTTTTCTTCAGACACTTAAGGCTGGATTAGTGGTGGTAAGTGAGGTGGGCAATAGGTATTTAGGAGAGGATTCTGATCTTACCATAAATTACTGAGTTCTAAATTTGTGTGTGGTGTGAGTAAATTAGTCATTACTTCCACCTGAGTTTTCTGTTAGAGATATTCATGAGACTAATGGTCATTTTTATTAATTAGGACTAACAGCAATATTCCATTCCCTGAAATTCTAGAGTCAATCAAGTGATATTTCAATTATGCTATAGAGGTGGGCTTCTAAACCTGTACATGAAATTATTCAGAGTTTTGCTTGGATATATTACATTCCAACAGCTGCCACATTGAGGAATATCAGCAATTAACAAGGTATAGAGCCCATATAAAGAAATAAGTATATTAATTTCAAATATTTTCATAACAACTAAGAAACTTCTTAAATTTTAACACAATGGAAAAATGGAAAATATCAGTAGTTCCATATCTCATCTGCGTCAGCCTGGTCAGGCTGCTGTAACAAAATACCATGGACTCGGTGGCTTAAACAGCAAACATTTATTCTCACAGTTCAGGAGGCCGGGAAGTCCAAGATCAAAGTGATGGCAGAATGAGCTCCTAGAGAGAACTCTCTTCATGATTTTCAGACAGCTGTCTTCCCTTTGTATCCTCAAATGGCAGTTGCAGAGAGAACAAGCTCTCTAGTCTCTTTCTGTAAGGTCACTAGTCCCATCATGATGACCTTGCACTCCTCACTTCTTCTAAACCTAACTGCCTCCAAAGGCCCCACCTTCAAGTGCCATAACCTTACAGGTTAGGGCTTGAACATATGAATTTTAGAGGGATACCAACATTCAGTCTGTAAAACTCAGTAATGGAAAAGGTATTTGCAAAATTGTTCTATTATTTATAAATTCCCAAGACAGACATTTATCGAATGCCTAATTCTTCCAACCCTTGGCTAAGAATTTAGATTTAATAATAATAATTATTGTTATAATAACTCGCACATGTATAAGCCTTAGTAAGTGTAAGGCACTCTTGTAATCAGTGGTCTGGTCTTTTGTGTGAGCCTTAGTGAGCTAAGAATGTTTCTTAGATTTTTAAAAGGCTATAAGAAAAAAGAATCAATCAAAAACAAATACCATATGACAGAGAAGGCAAAGCCGAAAATACTCAGTACCTGATACTTTTTCTAAAAACTTTGCTGATCCCTGTTCTAAAGTTTTAATATATATTAACTCATTTAATCATCACAACCTTACTTTTATTCTCTTATTTTCAGAATCGATAAACTACATACATAAATACTTACTGAATTTATCTGGGTTCCAATGGTGAATCACATAGGTTTCAAGCGCAGCTCTTTAATGCCTCACCTGCATGTTGTACTGAGTCTAGTCTCTTTCCATCAGCACTTACCCTCCCATTACCCTCTTCTACCTCCCCCACTCCCTTCCCTATTTGTTCTCTTTTTATAGACAAGGAATTGGGTCACCGAGGGGTATAAAGCCCTTTTCAATGTCACACACTTGATAAGTGGTAGAAGATGGTTCCAAATCAATCAATCTTACTCTAAAGATAAGTTAGCATAATCCCTGTTCTGAAAACGCCCAAGTTTTTCTAATCTCTGAATGTGGCACATTTAGGAGAAAAATGATTTTCCAGTCCATTCTTTAACATGTCTCTCTCTCTCTTTCATCTCCACATATGAATAAATACAACATGTAATTTTATCTCTGTAAACATTAGTTTTTACCCCTATATGCTTAATCAAGATAAAAAACATTAATTTTTTTAGAAAAAAACTTTTATTGATTCTTCCCATATTCGGTGCTATGTTCAATTATCGTCACTCAATCTAACAAAATTTAACTCTATCAGCACTTTTTTTTAAAGGAAATCTCATTTTCATTTTACTTTGCACTTATAATTGAAGCCTAATTGGTCGTAGAAAGTATAAAGATGCCTTGGTCACTGCACATGACACTGTCTTGGCTAGAAAGTGCACATATAGGATTGTTTCTGTCTTCAGGAGTAGGCCTGAAAAATTTCTCCGTAAACGCCAAACCCACATTTGGGTAACAGGATGGGAAGCCTTCAGCACTTCTTTCAATAATTTTCATGGTGGGAGGCAAATGTAAGTGCTTCCTGAGTTTAATGGCTCCACCACAGGAGAAAAGAAACAGAAGGCAACGGGGAGGAGGCAGGAGGAAAGCGTCCTGAGCCTGGGGCCAAGGTTCCGACTGCGGGTCCGTCACAGAGAGTGAGGCTGAGAGTGAGCGCTGGGAAGTCGAAGGGAGAAAGAGTTTCCTTCGCGCTGGGCCCCACATAAATACCGCAGCTGAAAGGAAATTGTGACTCTATATTTTCTGTATTTTATGTCTTTTGAGGTTTTTACTTGAACTCCCAAACCAGATCATTTTGAAATCAATAAAACCTGGCAGCCTCAGCATCTTACTGGACCACACAGCTTTTAGAAAATTGGCCATTTACAAGTGTGACCTGACTCCTTGCTTTTGTTGCAAAGAACTTTAGGAAAATATTTCAACATTAGAGAAATGGCAGAAATATTGCTAAAAATAATGAAGTCATTTTCTTAGACTTCCTCCACAGCTTCGATGTATTATAAAAGAAATTAAATATGAACTTCAAAATGTAGATAAAAGGGGGATGTCATCTATTCCGTTTTTGTCTGAGTGGAGCAAGTTAACAGGTATGAAATGTCCCAAGGAAGGTACTTTCTAATGGCTTATTTTACTTTCCGTATGTATTACAGCTATCTTTCTCTCTGAGAAACATAGACGGAAATTGTAGCATATTCAATATTTTTGAGTGAAAGAAGGGCTTCCAAGGATTAGACAAGTTTTTCTACATTTGGCAGAGGTTAATATTTGGATTGATCTGTCCAAAGACACTTATAGCTGAAGATTTTACTTAATAGATTGTTAGATAGATTGCACTTACTAGGAAGATTTTCTGGGTTAAATATCGCTGAAAAAAATGGGGGATACCCAGTGTTTGTATCTCATAAAAATGGTAATGCAACAATTAGCAGGGTCATATTATAAAGCACAGACTTTACTCTAGCCTAATGGATCTAAGGATAAGCATTTATCAACAAGGAAGGATTTAGCATAAAACGACATGTAAATGAATTGATGACTGATCATAAATTAATTTTAGTGCTGAGATGTAATAGAGACACAGCAAGATGCCACTTTATCATGGTATTTTACTGCTCACTAACATTTGAGCAACAACTTAATGTCCTGTATGCAGTTCTTCTCTAACAACTAGAATAAATTTGAGGGTTGTTTTTTGCCTTTCAGCAATTTTAAACCTGAGAAATTTGGAAGGATTGAAAATGTAGACACAAATAAATTTCGCTATGTGACATAAATTTATTTTTCATTAAAAGTTTAAATATGTATTGATTATGTTTGGGGCTATAACATGTCAGGTTGCTATGGATTACTTATAATTTGTGCACATGCTCCACCTGAGCTGTTTCGCCTAGTGTCATTTTCATTTTTATGTTTACATTAACATTTATAAAAGAAAAACGATGATCTCAAAAATGCTTACTTGCTAATTCATGAATCAATGTTTTCCTTTTCTTCCACTTTTTTTGTGCTAGTTCACATAAATCGTTAAGTCATTCTTGATGTTTAAATCTGAAAAATGAGAAAGTATGGTAGGCACAGGGAGGTGAATTGCCCACCATGGCCAGGTCTCTGGTTCACATCCCCTTGACTCTGAAGTCACTTATGTGGTTTCTTTGCTCTTTCAGAGGGAAGGAAGGAAAAGTAGCTGGTGCTCCTTCTACATTCCCAAACACTCATTTGAAGCCACGTTTTCCCTGCTGCTCTCTCTTCCCAGGGAAGGAAACAAAACACCAGGGAAAACTGCAGGAATAAGTGGAATTTCTGAGGGCGTGGCAAGGAGCACTAACAGTTGAGATCAATTCAGAGCAAGGACACAAAGGCAGGAACCTAGTTGCTCTGCTTCCAATTTGGCAAATTTGTACCTGGAAATCCTCATAGAGAGGATCACAGGGAGATGAACAGGGTGTCTTGGAAAGTCAAGCTAAACTTCCTCTTGAGATCTCACAGCGTGGCCTTTCTTTAGCGGCAGCTGTGGGGTAGGATCTTTCCTGAGGTTTACAGGCTCTGAGACTAAACTTGTCAAAATGCTAAACCTTCGGACTAGAACCACGCAGCAAGCCAACATAAATAGACCCCCAAAAAAGCAAATAAACAAACACAGACACAACTGTTTCTTAGAGAAGTCCTAAGAAAAAGTGAATTGCCACTTAATGTAGCGTCATCGTCTTAACTTGAATAGGATATTAATAAATGTCAATATTCAGGTTATCAAAACATAGTCAAGATACATATAAATTAATCTTTTAGTTTCTTCTTTTGGGTAATTGCATCACTTCTTTCTCCATTGTCTAAGTAACTGACAAAAGTTGACTAAGATTGTATTTCTTATTTAATTTTTCTAGTTCTTATGAGCACATTCTTTCTGGAGCTAAAATAAGGCTATCGATAGGAAGTGACACATGGGGTAGAATCACATATAGCATTTACAGTGAATAATTAAAACACTGAAGACATTTCACTTAATATTCCCTATGTTTATCAAAATTTCTACTGTGCAACGTTCCTGCACAAGAGATAGGAGAATAAATAAGAGACACTGTCCAGAAGAGGAAGCAGATCTGTGCAACAAGCTGTATTGATAGGGATCTGATGTGCTGCCGTGGGAACTCTGCTTGAAAAACGCAGGAGGCAGAGAGATTGATTCTCTTCTAGACAGGGTTGAAGGTGAGCTGATAAAAGAGATGACACTGTCTTGGACTTTAAAGTTTGCCAGTGGTTAATAGAGTCCGTCACAGTCCAGAGGTGTGTGCTATGTGGGCGAGGCAGCGGGCTGCAAGGCCCTGAGGGGGGGG